AACGAGAGTAACAATATTAGTTATTTTAATTATTATTTTAATTTTCTAATATTTAAAATAGATGTACTCGTTTAAAAAAAGAAAATAATGAATATCGTCAACAATTATCATCAAATCGTTCAAATAATTCAAAAGATCAACAACAACAACAAATTGAATTATTACGTCAAATGATACGTACTAGTGAAGATGCTTTAGTTAAAGAACGAGCTAAAACAACAAAAAATGATGATTATAAAGTATTAAATGATCAAGTATATTTTACCTTGTTTTTTTTTCTTTTATATTAAAAAATAAAATAAAATTTTTAATTTAAGGTTGAATCATTAAAAACATCAGAAAAACAATTGAAATCAAAAGTGAGAAGTTTAACAAATGAAATTGCTTTACTTAAACGAAAGTAATCAATTAACAAAAAAAAATTAAAAATGTTTTATTTTGTCTTTCTTTTTCTTTTTCTTTTTTTTTGTACAGTAGTCTTCATCATCCAACTACTGTTCGATCATCATCAAGAGAACGAATTATTCATATTAATGGGTATGTTTTTCTACAATTATTGTTTTGATAGAAAAGTAAATATTTTTATTTTACTTCGAAAGATAGTTTTACATTTAAATAAATGAAAATTCTATTTTATACAATTTATCCTATGAAAACATCTTCGAATAATTCTATGAGTCAGCTCGCATTGGTCACGTAATTCTCCAGAATTTAGTTTGAAATTTTTCAAACTTTTTTACTATGATCGAATTTGATACATTCATTGTAATTATTTGTGAAACTACAAAGCATTTTCTAAAGTAGTAGCATTTCTACAACAGCGATTTTTCAGATAAACACATCATTCAGTGTTTCGAGTCATTGTAGAATATCTTTAATTATTTTTTAATTGCTGTTGAATTTCCAGTGTATAAATAGTAAGAACTACTGACCATTATTCGTCTTATTTAACGAATGATATATGAGAATCAACAAAATCTCGGATATTATCTCAATAAAATATTAGATGTGAGTAAAACATGAGTCTCATTATTGAGGAAAATGTTTATTTGAATACATATTTTGTGAAAGATGATCTAAAAGAAATGTTAAAGTGCAGAGATAGAAATTCGAACATTCGTTTCACAGACTGTAATAGACAACGTGAAACACAATGAAATTGAAGATAACTATATTCTGAATTTCTTTCACATTCACTGTAACAGTTGACGATTAATATTAATCATGATCAATCCATGTTTACCAGGCAACAATATTTGAAAAACAAAAAATATGTTAATAAAAATTCTCATTTGTAATTTAAACGGTGTTATTGTGTTTCACATATTAATCCCAAAAGGATTGCACTAACAGTTTTAATTATACATCGAGACTTTTCGTTGATACATATAGATTGAAAGTTAATTATTTCTAGAAAAAAAAAATATCATTGATGAATAGATGACACAGGAATGATGTTTGTCTTAAGCCTTATTAATAATAAAACTAAACTAAAATAAAGTGAAAAATTAATTTAATAGAAAAAATAAATGAAGATTGACATTAATTATAAAATAAAAATGTTTTAGTTATTCTCCTCGTTCATTTAATCAACGTCCACCATCATTATCTCGTCCATCATCAGGTGATCAACGTCGACATCGTTCTGATCATTTATTACCAACAGCTTCATCTCGTAATCGTTCAAAACATCGTTCGAATTCAAATGATTCTCGTCGAAGTGGAAGTGGAACTCGTCCTCGTTCATCAAGTATTACAAAACGATCACCATCACCAGCAGGTTAGATTTTCATTCATTTTATTTACATTTTTTATTTAAAATTTTATTAGATTCACGTGGTCGATTCAATCCAACAGCTTATGTTCGTGAAAGAAATCTTAAATTACGACAAATTGAAATACAAAAGTAATTATTGTTTTTTTTTTTAAACTTTTTCCTAAGCAAAAAACAAAATCTTTTGTAGAAGTAAAGAAGCTCGACGAAGACGAAGTACTGGTCGACATGGTTCTGATTCAGATATGAGTGGTATATCGTTTAAATATTGATTAATAAGAATAAAAATTTTATTTTTATTTTAAGATTTTTCTGCTCGAGGTGGAAGTAAAGCAGGATCAAGTAAATAATTAGTTTTTTTTTGTTGTTGTTTATCTAATTATTTGTTCTAATTTAGTTGCTAGTTTAAAATTAAATGATAGTGATGATGGTTTACGCACATCAGCTTCTCGACGAAGTTCAAGTCGAAAACGAACTAAAGAATATAATCAATATAAATCAAAAGATTCGACTGATTCAGTATGTTAAGTCAAATTTTATAAATATTTAATAAATTTATTAATAAAAATAGGATATTGATGGTGTATCATCACCACCAATTTTACGTAAATCAGCATCAAATAATGCAACAAGTCTTGTTTCACATAAATCTCATCATCATTCATCATCTGATCATGATCAACAAAGTATTTTCTTTTTAAATTATCTTTAAACATTTGTTAGTCTGTTTTGTTCTTTTTTTGTTAATTTAGATATAAATTCAATAAAACCAGAATCAACAAATCTAAATGAAATGATTGATATTGATGAACGATTAAAATCATTAGAAAAATTTATGAAAGAAAATTTGCCAAGTTAAATTCTGTTTTTTTTTTTTTCTTTTCTTTTGAAAATGTCTATATAACTTTCTAGTATTAATAGCATCATTTGTTTATTATTTGTTCTATAATTAATTGAATAAAATAAGAATGATAAATTTTTATCAAAACTATCCGAAATTATATTTAATCACATTAACTTATATCCCACATTTGTTCATACTAACAGTGATATACCAAACTACTCAGAACAACCGACAGTAGATTCCTGGTTACATTATAATAGGCAATTTAACTATTAAACTATCGACGCTATATTGGCGTTATTTGTTCGGTTTAAATAGCATGGGATCTGTAACTAAAAGACACAAAAAAACATTAAAATTCTTTCAATAATGATTGTTGATAATAATCAATTTTATGATAAAGTAATTAAGTAACATGAATTATGTTAATTAAACAAAAAGTAGAAATATATTGTTAGAGTTAACATTTTTAATTAGAACACCGTTTTTATATGCTCATGTTTCCTCTCTAATATCTTAGCGAAACAGTGAACAAATGAGCTTCAATTTAATGAATGATTATATACATGTCTTGTCTATTTATAAGTGAAAGAGTCTTGTTAAAACGCTGAAAAACTATTCGAGTTATGAACGGTAGAATGAAGTTTTTTGATCACATAAGATATAAATGGTATATTTCGCAATAAGAACGCTAATGCAGAAGTTGTATCAAACTAGAACGGATCAAACATTACACTACTCCGTTCTAATTTGATATAACTTCTGCATTAGTATTCTTATTGAGGATATTGAACTTATTTCAAATTTGATCAAACGACTTCATTTTACCGTTCATAACTCGATTAATTTTTGACTGTTGTAAAACAATTCTGTCATCTCTAGTTACTCATTAAAAGTCTACTTGTGATAATTCTTTATTGGATCTGTATCAATCGACGTTCTTGTCGATTTGGAGAGATATTTGATCAATTTTTGACAACCTAATCATAATAATTCCAGTCTAATTTACTTGACAAAAATAAAATGATGGTGAATTGGATTAGGAAGCTATGAAAAGGATTTCATTATGCAATATTAAAAACAATAACTCTTATTGAGATGAGTTTAATTAAACAATTTTTAATTAAATAATATTTGAAAATAGACAAAATTGTCATAAGTTTAATTAGAAACAATTATTTCTCAAACAATATGAAATTATTAAGAAAATGTTTGAATGTTTTGCTCTTCAAAAGGAAAGTACTACTCAAATTAAACAATAACAAAATTGAATATATGGAATTTAAATAAAACGTTTCAATATGTAGAATAAATAAATGAGTTATAATTCACGGCTCGAAATAGATCGTCCGACTCTACTTTATTTCTTTTTTCAAAGAGAATTTTCTACATAAGAAAACATAGTAAATCTGATTTTTCAACATTGAAGATAGATTTCATTTGAATTTAATTTCTCTTAATTCATTAAAAGCAACAGCTTCAATCAATAAAACTTTATTAACGAATAAAAAAAAAAGATTAAAATCAACTGAAATCTATCTCGAAAACTAAAAAATCAGAATTAACTAGTAACATTTTAATTGATTTTATTCTGATGTTTCATCAAACTTTCTTACGTAGATTTTACACTAAGCCATCAATAACAATCAGAAATCTTTATTATGTGCACGTTTTCGAAGTTTCATTAGACCGAATAAACAAAAGCGAAGTGTTTATTCAATTTAATGACATAGCTCATACACGCACAAGGCTGAACACACTATCAACTGCATTAAATGACATAAGTGCTAGAAAAGTGGAAGAGTGTTAACTATGTACTAAAATAGACAATGTAACTAAAAATAGTAACCGATTTGAATCTTTAATATTGATAAATAAGCATTTTACTCGTGAAATCATATGTTAATAAATGAGAGCCTTTCAAAAGTTAAAGTACGCACGAACGCATCTTTTTCTTTGTCATTTCATACGTGATTCGACTTATCTTTCATGTTATTTTTTCAAGCATTAAAATCATTCAACCTTATTCAACTCATGATTACAATAATAATAAACTTTTTATAATTTTCTAATAAATGATTCCAGTAATTATTGTAGAGTTTCATGGTGTAGAAATCTCTTTTATAAAAGAAATATACTCTTAATAATATGCCATTCTGAACTGAACCGGACCATCGGAGAGTAGTCGGATTTTGAAGTGTGATATATTTTTTGGTTATTTTCAAATAAAAATTAAGAAAATTTAAATGAAAATAATTTTCATACGTCAACAATTCTCATTTGAATATATTCTTGCTTCTTCATTTAGCTGAAATTATATATTTATTTATTTATTTGTGTCTTTAAAACACAATAATATACAATTGAGAAAGCTTTACACATTTATATTCTCGAAATATTTAATTGCTCATCATCATCTTCTCTGACCAAAATAATTGCTTCTGTTGCTAATCGAACAATTAATGGACCTAGAAGAGCTCCCCATGGTCCTAATAATTCCAATCCACCAAAAATCGTCAATAACAATAATAATGTTGACATTTGTAACGAACCTAATTTAGAAAAAACTGGTCGAAGTAAATTATCAATTGATCCAATAGCTAAAATTCCAACAGTAATCATAATAACTGCTTTTAAATAAGCTTGATGAATAAACAGTCCGATTGTTATTGGAACCCAAACAATAGCTGTACCAAGAATTGGAATTAATGAACAAAGACCAGTTAATACACCAAGTGCATACCATCGTGGGATTTGTAAACATAAATAAGCAATAGCAGCAACAATACCTTGCAAAGCACATGTTAAACATACGCCAATTAACAAACCTCGACCTGTTTCATGAAAAGCATTATAAAACCGATCCATATGTTTCGCTGATAATGGAGTATGATGAATTGTCCATGTCCAAATTTGATTGCCATGTAATAAAAATGTATAAGTTGAGACCAAAAATATTAAAAGACCAATGATAAACTAAAAGAAAATATATTAAATATATAATGTATATATTTATTAATTTTACTTGAGCTGTTACACCAGCAACGGTTGATATAACTGATAATGCTTTTCCACCAAATAATTGAAGAACATCACTTATAGTATCTCGTTGCATTAATAAACGTTCAAGTAGATTAAGTGTAGCATTTTTACCACCTCGAATAAAATCGATAAAATTAAAATCATTCGTTTTATTTAATCCAGATTCTGTTGAATTATCATTTGTTGGTGGAACAATTAAATTAATTGCATTTCGTACTGTTGTAGAATTTGATATACTTGCAACGAAATTTATTGTTGAACCTGTTAAAGCGATTATTATTAAAATAATTGGTAAGATTACGACAAGAACAAGAAAGACAAGAAGAAATGCAGCTATAGCTGAACGTGAACGTTTTTCTCGACATCGATTCATTAAAGGTCTATTTAAAGAAAAAAAATAACAATGATTATTAAAAAAAAAAAAAAAAAAACCAAGTCAAAATTTTATATTCTCACAAATGAATAACAAGCCATTCAAGAATAGGTCGACAAATACTTGATAACCAAATGGAAAGAATTAATATTGTTATATAACGCCAAATTATAATTATCGTGCTGAGAGCTAAGATCACAGCACACCATTGCATTAAACGATGTTCCGTTAATGTTTTACGTGTTAACATATTTGATTTGATTTTATTATTGTGTAAAGTCGAAGTAATTGGTAGATTATTGGTAACCAACTGAATGGTTTCATCAGGGGAGGGAAAACATGTTTGGATATAATCATTATTCATTTTCCGTTGTTTTTACTTGGACGAGCTTTATATTTTCTCGATTGTCTTCATTCTAATATTGTTGTTCTATCCGTTCTTTTGCTTTAATATAGTGGAGAAAAGAGAAAAAAAAAGCATGAGACAATCTAGTTGAATAAATACACGAAGAAAACAAGATGAATAGACTAGAATGGGTGTCCGTACCAATCCCAAAATAAGAAGAAAAAGAATGACAACTTCTCTAAAGGAAGACATGAAAAAAAAAGGATGTCTTTTTCTAATATAGTAATTTTATAGCTAAGTAATTAACATATATGTCTATCAGAAAACAAAAATGTAGAATAATTAAATATGACTATTTATCAAACATGAAACCTAAAAAATTAATATATCAACATACTAATTATTAAGTAGACAAGGTGAAATAGAAGACAAACTATTAATTATTCATTTATTTATGCTACTAGCAAAGAAAAATTTATTTGTTACCAAAAACGAAAAAAAAAATATTTTTTCATTTAGACAAATATTATTCTTCAACAAACTAATGTAAGATCTTTTTTTACTAATTTCCATTATGAAATTGCACTCAAAGCTAAGCTTTTCACAGATAATTTTAGATCTTTAATTATGCATAAATACATCCTTATTTGAAATGATGAAGAAAAATAAAACATGAGATAATCATTATTTAATTCATAGATATTATAGGAGAAATATATTCTAATAAGAATTTGTTTTAATGTTTTCTTTTTCCATTGTTAGTAATAATATGTTTTTCATAGAAATATATTTGATTGTTTCGATAAAATTATCAAAATAGTTAAGTAATTATTTTATCAATTATTATTTCTATTCTCTGTGGACAAAGCAATAAAATAGATATAAATATTTTTGATAAGCAAAGAACAACAAAAAAGAATAAATTCAATGCCCATGGCAGATTTTATTATAAAATTTATGATATTTCTAATCTAAATATATACTGGTAAAGGTTGAAAATGACGTTTTTTTCGATATTGTCTAAAGAAATATATAATTAAACTAATGATAATTATAAGAATAAGAACAAGACCAAAGCTAATAAAAAATAAAATCCAAGAGAAAGATTGATTTTGATTAGGATTCAATTGTTCGCTTTTTTGTTCATCAGTTTGATCATCCAATGGTTCAAAAAACTTTGGTGTTGATAATGATATACTATCATCATATTCTTGAATATTTTCAAGTGCTGAAATATTCTCTTTAATAATATTGATCGAAGTTGTTATTATTATTGTTGTTGTTGTTGTTGATGATGATAATGATGAGCTAATAAAAGTAAATAAATTAAAAAAAAAACAATTTTTTTCTTTAAAATTTTTATATTTTTACTTTTCGGTTAAATTTCGTTCTTGATCATTTGTTTGATTCATAAGAAAACTCATCATATGAACATCAATTGAATCAGAAAAAATATCAACTGATGATAAATATTCATTTGAACTATTTTTATTATTATTTATTATTCCTTTATTAATATGATTTAATTGATTTTCATCTGTAAATAAAGGATAAACTTCTTTAAAATATTGCCTAATTGTTGGACAATCATTAAAATAACATAATTTTGAACATGTTGAAAAATTAAAATTTTTTTTAAAATATTGATTTAATTGAATATGATTAATAAAAAGTCGAGCACAATCACATTCAGTTAAATTTTTAACTCGAGGTAAAATAATATTTAAACGTTGTTGATAATTTTTCAAAATATATTTAATAAGATGACAACGAGAATCTGATTTCATTTGAGATAAATTAACATCAGATAAATCTAAATGATGTAATCGTTGTGATAATAAAACAAATATTTTTGGATCAATTGTATGAAGACTTGAACCTAATTTTAAATTATATATATGACGAGCTGCAAAAAGAGTTTTTTCATTTAAATCTTCAATATCAATTGTTAATGAATCTAATGTTGGAATAAATTCATCAATTGAAACTTCAAAACGTGGTTTTATTATTTCTAATCCTCGTAAATTTTTATGAGATAATAAAAATGAATTAAGATTCATTGAATGAGCTTCAATAGAATGAATCGTATAAGAATAAACATGAGGATAATATGGAAAATTATTTGAATCAATAGTATCAACATGACGATGAAGTATTAATGATCGAACAAGACCTTTAAATTTTTCTTTTAATAAAAATAAACTTGGACGAATAATTGATCCATGAAAATGAAGTTCACCAATATTTGTATTATTAAATATTTGTTCAAATGAATATAATGATGGAAAACGATCTTGTATTGTATGAATATAAATTGTTAATTGTGAAACTGTTAAACCAGATAAACAATTCGAAGAAAAATTAAATTGATCTTCAATATTAGTAAAATTTTCTTCATCAAATTCAATTTGTGTTAAATTATTTATCATTGGAATAAGATTTATCCATAAGCGTTTATTTTGAGGTCTTTGTTGAAATATAGTAGAAGTTAATGAATGATTATGAAATGTTATATGTTTAAATCCATTAAATCGAAGAAAAATATCAATTTTATCATTATCATTCGTTTCAGAAAATAACATAGATAAAGAATCAAATTGATTTGATTGTATTTCTAAACGATCTTCAGTAAATATTTCTATTGAAACAGTACGAAAATGATTTTGATCTTTAAAATCAACACCAAATGGTGATTGAAAAGTTTTTTCAGTTAAAGAATTTCCTTGACAATATAAATGTGAATAAGTTTTAATTAATAATATTGAATTTAAATCGACATTTGATTGAAAACAGGAACAATTAAGTAAAGGAAATATTGAACAAGAAGTTGATGAATAAACTAATGGAAATATTATTAATATTGACAATAAAACTAATATATTTGAATAAAATAGGATTATATTCATTCTAAAAATAAAATTTTAATTTAAATCATTTTCTTATTATCTTTGACAACGAGAAAATTTTCTCATGGGAAATGAATTACAAGACGAAGATTAATACTTTTTTTTTTTTATTTCTAAAAGAACATGCGCAATTTTCTCTTTTTACGATTAAGCATCGAAAAGTTTTACTTTTTCGTCTTCATATCATTTATTCGTACTCCTTTATAAACTTATCAATTTCGATGTAAAACTCTCTTGAAGAGTTCTCATGTTATCTTAATAAATTTATATTAACTTACTCAATGGACGATTTCAGAATCATTATACCTTATACTCGCACTAATCATTTTTATATATAATATGGGACTGTCTCGGACCAGAGAAAGAACAAGGGAAACTTCTTGTTTATATTGTTCTTTAGTCTTTAGAGTTAAAATAAAACAATAGCTACACACTCATGAGTCTTACTTTAGTCTGTTTGTGTTTGTAATATTTTTTTTTAATGTGAGAGGAAATCCGTACATTCATTTTCCTGGTCAAACAAATAAAATGAAAGCTTTTTTTAAAAGCTATATTGACCATTAATGCATCACCACAAGTTTATCTATCATTTCTTTCAGGTCAAAATAAATTTCATTCTGTTTCAACAAAATATCTGAACATTTTTCATATTACTATGACTCTTTTGTTGTTATGTATATACGTCCATTTGACACATAGATTGAATTACAAAAGAAAAAAAAAAACATTAAACTCTGATTTCCAAACTTTACATGTATTTATCCTTCGATTAAACAGATTTCATGAAGATTAGTATTCCATGGTTTATGTTGAAATATGGAACAATTATTTCAATGACAATATCATCTTCCTCTTTATAATGAGTATTTGAGTATTTTATTTCAATATTGATATGTATATATTATTAAGCCGATCTTCAAGGTATAAATAACAATATGATTTCTTATACAGCTGTAGAAAATGTTCTTATTTTTAGGAGCAAATATTATTAATTTGATTAAGCAATTATCTGAATATGGAAAAGCTGATAGCAAGACACGGAAAAACTTTGTTTTGATGAATGTTCCTTGAAAAGACCAGCAGTTACCATTAAAAAAATTAGTTTGAGTAGTCTAATTTTCTGTTGACATTTCTAGGACCCAATAACATTGTCTATTCATAAGAATGTGTCAACTAAGTATTACTTATATAAGAGAAATGTGTCGAGTAGCTTCTTACAAATTGATAAACAATTCCGTTTCACAGATGAGTAAGTCAAATGTAGAAACAAAAGAAAAATGTCACAAGAACCAATATTTAAGTCAATCATAATCATTAAATAATAATTATCTAGTCGAGACAATAATATTTTACCTTATTTATAAAATCATCAGACAGACATCATCCTTTGGACAGATGTTTAATAGGTTTTTCCGACTGATCAAACTATCGCTTTGATAATTTTTATTGATACATATATACATGTATATATATATATATATATAAATGTAGTTGTTGCATCATCAATACATATATAGATAATTCGATTGCTCCACAATTATAATTATTAGAAAAGAAATAACTCTACATTGTGTACTCAGTCATAAGACATCATTTTGTTGACACTTGTCAAAGTTAAATATACATATTGATAGCAAGAAAGAAGGTCGTCTCCTTAGAGGTTGTCTTTTTCTTTTTACAACGATGATTATGCAATGAAAGAACGAAAGAAAAAAGAAGAACGAAATTGATAAATTGATTCAAACAAATTAATTAACACTAATATAAAATTATACTCTAATTCAATTATAAAACAAATATATGATCATCATTAGATAAACTTACTTTTTTTCTTTTATACCCAATTTAAATCATAAGACGTTGATGTTCTTTCGAGTAAAAAGCAAAAAATGAGAACGAAAAATGAGGAAATACTGACGCATATGCCGTTGTTGTATTCGTGCCAACTGATAACAGCATAAAGCAAAAACCAGTAGCGTTCTCTCTTAACAAATAACG